TTCTCTTTTTTATAGTCAGTATAACTTCTGGATCGTAATTTATTCTGTGTATTACTTCTTCATTTGTAATTTTATCCACCCAACTTAGTTTTAGTATATGGCGGTAGCACCACATCTCAAAGCTTTCAAGATTTTTAATATTCCTCTGTTTAAGAGTCCATGCCTTAACACCGTAAAGTAGAGTACTGAATACATAGCATTTTAACAATCTAGTTCCTAGATGAATACTAATATCATAATTACGAAATAATTTTTTCATTTTTATAAAGTAGACCTGGCAATTTCAATACGTCTTTTTATCTCGTGATTTTGGTCACCTGTTTCATTGATGAGAGTCCCAAGTATTTGTATTCCTTACTTTTTCGAGTTGGGTACCGTTTATTGTGATACTAGTGTCATGTATTGAATTCTTACTGAAGGTCATATATTTGGTTTTTTTGACGTTCATCCTTATGCCGTAGTTATTAGATACTTTCAACCAGATGTTGTAGATCTTCCGATGTTCTTGCCATTATCACATTATCGTCAGCATATCGAATGTTACTGATAACTTCTCCATTGACTATTATCCCTTCATTTGCATGTGAGAGGGCTTCTTGGCATATTTGTTTGCTGTAGATATTAAACAAGAGCGGTGATAATATACTAAACTCTGTCGTACTTCTCTACGTATTTCTATTTTGTCGGATGTTTGGTCTTCTATTTTTATATTAGCTCGTTGATTCCAGTATAGATTAATTATTATTTGTATGTATCTGGTGTCGATGTTCTTACCCTCCAGAATTTATTTGAGTTTATTGTGGCGTACTTTGTCAAAGGTCTTTTCAAAGTCTATAAAGCAGGCCTGTACCTCTTGTTTAACATCTAGACATCTCTGTGTTAGGACGTTTAAGGTAAAGAGAGCTTCTATTGTATCTAATCCTTTTCTGAGTCCCATCTGTATATCGTTAATATCGATATCTAACTTTTGATAGATTCGGTTGTGGATGATTTTAAGAAATATTTTAAGCAGATGACTCATCAAGGAGATTGTTCGATGATCTGAACATTGCATTGCCTTAGTTTTCTTCGGTATGGTGACAAACGTAGACAGCAACCATTCTTGAAGTATTATACCAGTACTGTATATTATATTGAATAGATATAATATTATGGTTACGGAATTACATTTGGGATTACGGTTGATTTATTAAGTTGACATCTTAAGTAAGAGTTTGTGATACTTAAGCCACTCACCTATGTCTAATACGACCTGTTCTACATCAGTTTCTAATTTTCTGTGATCTTTATTGGCATACAGAAGACCAGTGTCATCTGCATACAGATACAATATGGACTGTAGAGGTATATTGGACAATGAATTCACATAAATCAGGAAAAGTGTTGGTCTTAATATAGTCTATATTTAGACCAATCCAATTGGGATCTTTAGTCAATTGTCAAGACCAATTTAGTCTTGAGGAACTCCCCATGCAATATATAGTCCCTAAACGCAATTCCAGTTATCGCATTTGTTCAAGCATTAAAATAAATATGTCATGCTCAAATGCGTCGAAAGCTTTTTGCAAATCCAATGATACAAATACTCAACTTTACATTCAACTCAACATTATTGTCTATTAATCCAGTGGCTAGATAAATCAAAGAATTTTATAACTTCGTTATTTAAATGTAGACTTATGATAGTAATTAATGAATTGTTACTGTCTTGAGTTGAGGATAATATGATTTAATGTTAACCATATTTTTTCGGTGTTGTTTTGTGCCTTTGATAATTTATTTCGGAAATACTCTTTTTTGCTTTAGCCATTTCATCAATTACCTCTTTTTTGTGGAAGTTCTCGGTAGACTTGCGTGATGAGTTTACCAATCTTAAGAACTGAATTTGGTGAACACCTAAACCCTCATTCACTGTATAAAGCTTAGCATCATAATTTAAGGTATCGTTCACTACATAATCAATACAAGTAGCTAAGTAGCACATAGTTCTCATGTAAAAAGTTTTATTCAATATTGTAAAACCATTGAAAGTGATTGACTTGTTAATTTTTGTGGTAAACTCTCTTGAATCACGTCTATATTAAAGTCGACAGATATCCAGATTGGTAATGTTTTGTTCAAGAATATATTTAAGAACTACTATATCCACTACTGTTAGGTTTTTTTATTTTTAGGCAGATAAAAATAAAGTTAACTATGGAATGGACTGAGAAGAAGCTCTTTCTTTAGACCAAGTAGATAGTGACTCGGAGAGCACTGGGATCTATCTTAAAGATAAGGTAATCGAAGCTGCAAAAGATTGTGATGCAGCGGTTTCCATCAGAAGAAAAAACTGGATACGGAACAAACGATGAATACAGAGAGTATTCAAAAGAAATCAGAAAACAGTGCCGCAAAGACAAAGCTGATTACTATTCTCAAATATGCAGAGAGATAGAGGAACATGGGAAATAAACCAAGGGATTTATTTCAGAAGATCAAACTGCTAACTGGAGAATTTAAATCTCAAACGTGGTCTGTAATAGATAAGGAAGGTAATCTAAAGACCGATACTGGCGAAATATTGAAAACATGGCGAAACTACTGTGGCGAGCTATATAAAAATAACAAGGTACCAGCAGAAAATCAGTGACCCCTTGCCTACCGTAGCGAACCAACTATCTCACTTGCTGAAGTCAAAGATGCAATTAAATCGCTAAAGAGAAATAAATCCCCCATAAAATGGCATTTTCATAGGCATATCAAAAAAACAGATTAAAAACCTATCTACTATCTACCAAATACCTCAGGAACAAGCGGGGTTTGTGAAGGGTAGAGGTACACGGAATTCCCGTGTACCTTTGTGATGGGAACAAATCTTGAACCTGAGACAACTCATTGAAAAGTCTAGAGAATTTCAAGGACTTATGATTATATGCTTTGTTTAAGGCATTTGATTGTGTGAGCTCGATAAAGCTGAGGTCCATTTTAATAGAAATACGCACACCAATGCACCTGGTGACACATTACAAAGCTGTACTAGTCCAATATTGCAACCGTACGACTAGATCAGAAGTTCTCAAACGAATTCAAGACCAAGAGAGGTGTTAGACAAAAAAGCGTGTTGTTACCTGACTTATTCAACATTTATGGTGAACATGTAATGAGGATGGCTTTAGATGATGATCACATGAGTCTATCTTACGATTTTTGCTTGCTTTAATAACTTTTGTGCTAATATCTCAAGACCTCCATTTTGCCACAATTACTGATCCTGGTTGTAATAGTCTGACACGTCCTGACTAGTCAATTACATAATAAAAGATCATTAGCAATTTTCATTAGAACCTCTTTAGGATCTTCATTTTTAATTTGGGTTCCATGAATCTCCAGGTTAGAGGATGTCTTCATATTCGAAGTTTCTGCATGCTTCTGGTTTCAAGGCTTCTCCAGGTTAGAGGAATGTTCTTCATATTTGCAGTTTCTGCGATGTATTCTGGTTTTCAACATAAGGGTATCAAATTTACTAATTAAGAAAACCATAGATTCTTCACTAATCTGAAAATATTTTTGAAACTCGATGATTTCATTGCGATTCGATGATGACATTTAAATGTCTGCTGACTTAACCTCACTTTTTTCCAACAACATTTTCCTATAGAGCACATTTTTACAATGTTTATGAATAAAATTTTAGATCCAAGTTCCAAGAGTACTCCAATTCTTTCAGTAATTTTTCCAACACTATGATTGCATCACATAGTATTTATTTTTGTACAATTAATGTAGATACAATAACTTTATAAATTTTAGTAAAAATTTAGCACTTACACACAAAAGTATTATTACCTACATAATCTATTAGGTAACACCCAAGTCATTCCTATTTTTAGCTCGTTTTAAGTGTTATTTTCACAGTAAATATTAAGATCGTAAACAAATCCTATATACTTTTGTAATACTTACTGGATACCTGTTTGTCGATAACATGTTTAAAATATGGGTGATTACTGCATGCCAAACTGTAATTGGCACAATTTAAAGTCACATTTTCGAATCACGAGACTTCGTTTATAGAAAATCTTGCCTACTTAAATTATAGATAATTTATAATTATCTATTGGTATTTGAATTATTTTATTTTTTAATCTGAATAACCATATTCGGGATGGTAGGGCTTCACGGATGGTTGTTAATATATAAATGTTAAATATCTTAAGACAAACAATGAAGTTTCAATCAATCAACCTGGACTTGTTCCAGGTAGAGTTTACATTCCTTTGTATTCTTTGCCATGACCTCAATGTGATCTTTGGTTATAAATTAGTTTTAGAACTTCCAACTCGTTATATCATTCGGTGGCCTACCTATCTGAGACTATTTATTTTGATGGATCTAATGAGATCAGATTCACTGTAAAGGAGTATTGTTCTGAAGCTATTTTCTTGTGGCATTTTAAAATAGATACTATTTTATTGTGAATACCCAGACAATCGACAGTCTCGGGATCAGCATCTTGGTCCACTAGGCAACATCTTACTTGTTATTCCACTCTTCTTGCCATCTTTCTATTGATCTTTCCATTTCTTTTTTTATAGCTGCTGTCAAATGCTCTCTTCTCTCATAGAGATGTTTCACACAACCCGTGATAGCCCAGAAGGCCGCCACAGATAAGTTCTGTGTACTTTTGTCATGAGCCTAATATTTGGTATCAATATCTAAATATAATGAAAAATATTATTAATTATTGTGTATTTATACAATAATTATTGTGTTCTCCATATTTAAAGTGGTAATTTAATTATTCAATTATCGTTTTGGATTTTTTGTATTGTGTGTGAAAGACAAGTTACAGTTTCCTACTATTCTTTATATATTTTTTACTTTATATGCCCTGGAGGAATGGGTTTTACCCCCGTTTGTATTATATGTCTATGGTTATAAGGTACCAAAATTCCCATCTAATGTTTCGTCCTTTTCATATATGACCAGTTATATTGCAAATGATAGACAAAGATAATAATATAATTATTTATTTTACATATAAATACAATACAATAGGCATAAAATGTCATTTAAATCAGTCCATTGCTAAAACTATTTTAAAATAAAAGGCGGGGTATAAATTAATTTTGTATTTGGTGACGTTAATTTTATATATCATTTAATTTTCATAAGCTGCTATTTGTTTGTTGTTTGCAAAAATGGTCTATACAATATCCCGTATACAATTCAAACGAACGCCTTTGACTACAATTACAAAAATCGTATTCACGCCATACGACTGCTCTTCAATATATAATACATGAATGAATAATAAATATATAAAAAGATATTACTACAAAGAGATAACACTAAGATAAATATAATTTAGCAAAATATACACTAAAAAACATAAAGAGCTCCAGGACATTAGGTACTACTTGTTTAGAGAAACTTATTATTTTTTATGTAATAGTAAATAACATACACCAAACACTTCCAAAATGTTCTGTCTTTCCATAAGTCTGTAATTTTCGAGATTATTTCTACACCATTTTGTATAATCTTCCGTCATTTTTAATCCAGAGATAAAAAATAATTATTTTTCCTCAACTTTAAGAACTTCACCACTTTTCACAACAGCTTCATCTGGTACTTGAGTATCTACTGTAGTTGAAAGAGTTGTATCTAGTACTTCTTTTTCTTCGGCAACTTTAGTTGCTACATCCTCAACTGCTACCTTCGTTGCTACATCAATTGTTGCAACATCAGCCGCTGGAACCTTTGCTGCTACATCGGTTACTGCAACATCAGCTTCCACAATGTCAACTGACATAGGTTCAGGTTTTTCACTAAAAGTACTTTCTGTCTCTTTAGTTTCAATTACACTATCTGCACTTATAATAGTTTCAATTATTTCTACGTGTGAGTTATCAGAAGTTTCAGGCCACTTCTCAACGACATCTATGGCCATTTCCCTAATACCGTCTTTATTGTATTCATCTAAATTGTTTTCACCCATTTGTAAAGAATTTCTGCTAGTTGTAATGATGCTGTCTATCAGTTCCGTGTTAATATTTTCTTCATCAAATTCCTCTGATTTCTCGATTAGTTCAGCATTAATTTCTTTCTCAATTCGATCCAGCTCCTCTTGCTTCAAAACCTGCAATGTTTCTTCTATCCAAGACGCTTTTATTTCTGTTAGAAGCTTATCCACGAACATCTTAATTTTGTTAATAGTAAATATTGATCTTATTTGCACGTTAACTATTCTATCGTCAAAGAGAGTCAACAGTAATCCCAAACATTCCCTGTATATGAAAAACAGTACCCTGTAAGGTACCAATCGTTCGAGTTTCCAGCTTTGTTGCCATCATAAGTAAATATATTTTCGCTGTAATGCGATCTTAGAGAATTCAAAGTTTCCCCTGCGTACAAAGATATATTGTCGGTCTTAAAATCATCTATGCTTTTATTTAATGACAAGATATCTTGAAAAGTTTTTTCCTCTAAGGCACCTTCAAGCTTCTTCAATATACACTTTAACATCCACAACATTTTAGCTGCCTTCTCTTTATCTTCAACTTCCTTTAGACTTGCAAGATACTCCACTTCCTCTCCAGGTAGTACTGACGGTTCAATCAATTCATTTATACCAAAAATCGGTACATACCGATACAAATACCTAGTGTCTCGTTGAAACATCTTAAAGTAGGGAATGATTTGTGTTGATGTCCAAGTCATTCCAAAGTGCTTGACTATGAGCGGTAGAATTATAGCAGCTGTTCGTCTAACAGCAAACACATGATCCCCTAGAAGACTTCCATAAAAGTGTTTTATGTTTTCTGCGAAATACTCTTTAGGCGCAAACTTAATTATATGCATAAATGTCATCAACAGACCCTTTCTTGTTCTCCAATGTGATTGCGAGTAAACGATTAATGTTCTTATAACTCTCTTGATAGATGGAAGAGATTGAGCAAAGTCTACATCTGCTGGAAGGTCGTTTAAGTTCTCTAAAATGTTAGCCTTGACTGAAACTGATTGTTCTAGATCTAATATATCTAAGACTTGTGGCATAATGTGTTCTACAAATGCTTCTTTACTAATAAGTGTGCTTAAACTTAAAATGTTTTTAGCCAGTTCCAACTTAACATCAGTACAAGTATCGACCACTAACATTGTTATCTGAGGTACTACGCTTTGTATAAAGACTGACTCAAAATTATTTTCATTTTGGTCGCATCTCTCATAGGACTCTTTTAGATATCGACAAAACGGGACTAGATTTTTAACGGCTACAATCCTGACTTCGTCTTCGACATTCTTGATCAATTTTTGAAACATTGCTAGTATTCTTCCACGTAGTTTGGGATAATAGATTACCTTCTGTATTTCTGCTATATCTACTGCTAGAACGAGACGGGTTTTCCAAGAATCACTTTCTAAAATCAAAAAGAAAAATAGTCAGATTAAAGAATACCAAGAAAGAAACTGATATAAAGAAAGCGACAAAAAAGTCTTATTTAAATAATATAACATGACGTTATAGACCAGTATTTCTGTGTATTATTGACCTAAAGAAAGCGTTTGACAGAGTAAGACTCAAAGATGTAATCCATCTTGTGTATAATAGAGAAGCTCCCCTAAATATTATAAAAACTATCGAAAACATCTAGCAAAACAACAAAATTAAGGTCAGAATAGATGGACAATTTACAAAACTTATAGAAATAGGCAGCGGAATAAGACAAAGGGATTCACTGAACCCCATGCAATTTGATCATGGATGAAATCATCAAAAGCGTTAACAAAGGAATAGGATATAGAATGAGAAACAAAGAAATAAAAATACTCTGTTACGCAGACGGCGCAATATTGATAGATCAAGATGAAAATCCACAGATTTAAAATAAGAGCAAAAGAATTTAATTTGACAATCTCATCTCAGAAAACTTCAACAGTAGTAGTCAGCAAACAATCAACCAGATGTAAAATAGAAATTGATGGCATCAGTGTGAAACAAGTTCTTCTTAGTCGTTAACCTGATGCAGGTATCGTGATATCATGAAGCTATTAGCTAAATTTCCCAATGTTCCTCCACGTTTTTCTATCTTCTGCCATTCTAGCACATTCTGACAGTGAAACAAGTAATAGCAATAAAATATCTGGGAACTACACTGTTTATCTATGGAGACTTGGATAAAGAAATGAGAGATCAAGTACGAAAAGTAAATAGACTGGCAGGATGCCTTAATAACACTATGTGGCGAAACAGACACATTGACAGTGAGATTGGGTCAAGAATTTATAAAGCCAGGGTAAGACCAATAATGACATATGTCTCAGAAACAAGACCCGACATAGCCACAACGCAAAGGCTACTTGAAACGGCAGAGATGAGAGTACTGAGAAGAATTATAGGAAATATGCTAAGAGATCGAAAGAGAAGTGAAGACAATAGAAGAAAATGTAACGTAGAGTGTATAAATGAATGAATGGAATAACCACATAAGCAGAATGGAGTCGTCAAAATAGCAAGACACAAGTCACCAATCGGCAGAAGAAGTATGGGATGACCGCGCAATAGATGGAGTGACAACCTGCCATAGAGGTGTTAATCCGCCAATGAATAAGCATAATTGCTTATAAAAAGGAAGAAGAACATTGCCAGCTGATACTGAATGGAAATCAAGCGAATACAATGGAGAAAGAAAGCCACATCAAGAAACACGGAAAATCCAGAAACTATAGAAAAGTCATATACTCAAGTCATTGACCTTGAGCAATGACTTGAGTGAATTTACAAACTAATGTCATTCTGTATGATGTGATGAACACATAAGATTTAATTTAAAAGCTTAAAAACCTAATTTTTAGAAAGTCTTTGATGACTATTAGTAATTCCAAACTATTAAATAATTTTGTAAGAATTTAAAACAATCTCTATTTCCTATATATGACATTTGTCAACTGTCACTTTTGAAAAATCGTTTTAAAGGGACCGACATTTGATTTCATTAGTTCTACCTCACAGCAAACAATGGTCGGGTTCTTACACCCGTACCATGACAAAAAATTTTTTAATTTTTTAATGTGTCTGTGAAGTCCAGTGTCGGTTTTTTTGTATGTTTTTTTAAAAATTTTAACAACTAAGTAATTAAATAAAAAAATCAATATTTTAACAAATAAGGAAATGAGATCTTTCCATTGTAGTGGTATTTATAAATTGACGTAAGTAAAAATTTTAAAATCTTCACCAATTAGTTACTTATAAGAACATTTTATTGTAGCATAGCTCCGATGATGACTTTGTAAAGCCGAAAGCGCTCAGCTAGGAATTATTAAAAATATACACACTTCAAAAATACTTTTTTGCCTTTTCTTTTGACTTGTCATAAGTGTGTACAAAAAACATATCAGTCTTTTGATTGATAGAAAAAGAAGAGCTGGAAGAAGCAATAAGAAAGATAAAGATTGGAAAAGCACCAGGCAGCGATGAAGTAGCACCAGAAATTATGAAATATATTTGAGTAAAAGGAAAAGAAAAATTGTTATACATATATAACCTAATATGGAAGAGAAAAGTATACAAAAACATACAAGAAAGGAAACAAGAGACTGTAAGAACTATAGAGGTATATCACTATATGTGTAGCAGCAAAAGTATACGAAACCATAATAGAAAGGAAAATGAGAAAAGAAATAGAACATAAATTAGAGGACGTACAAAGTGGATTCAGGAAAGAACACAACACACAATATCATATATTTACCATGTAACAAGTAATAAAAAAAGCCTTAAAGAATAGTAGAGAAATATATATGAGCTTTATAGACATGGAAAAAGCATTCGACTCAGTCAAAAGAAAAGATATATGGAAAAGCCTAAAGAAGAAGCAAGTAAGTGAAGAACTGATAGAAGCAACAAAGAGTATATACATGAAAACAACAAATATAGTAAGAATGTTAAATATACAGTCAGAACTATTTGAAACAACTTATGGAGTTAGACAAGGGGAAAGTCTCAGCCCAGTGCTATTCATAAATGTAATAGATGAGATAGTGAAACAATATAAGAAAACATTCAAGAAATACTGCATCGGTTGGAACAGAATGCAAATGATAAACGCTGAAGTGTGTATATTTGCAGACGACAAAGTATTAATTGCGGAAACAACAGAAAAACTGAAGACTCAGATAATGAAAATATCAAGTAAACAAGGGACGGAAGATCAAATAGAAGTAATGATAGACCAACAAAAAATAATACAGACAAATTCATACACATACTTAGAAACAGTAATCAACAACAAAGAAGACATCGAGGACAATCTTAATAACAGAATGGAAAACACAGGAAAACTATTCCAAGAACTAAATAGACGATTAAGTACTTAATAACAAAGAATTATTAACAAAGACCAAGATGACAATATACAAAAACAATATATAGACCTACAGTGACATATGGAGTAGAAAATTGGATATTAAACAAGAGACATCAGAGAAGAAATCAGGCAGCAGAGATGAAATACCTTAAGAACGATCGGATTAAAAAGAACTGATAGAATAAGAAATGAAGAAATAAGAGAAAGACTCAAAATCAAACTGATACTCGACTCAATCAAGGAGAAAAAATTGGCATGGTTCGGACATCTAACCCGGATGGACAATAATAGGCAAATAACAAGAGTGTGGGATGCCAAACCAATGCAACATCTGATGAACATCTGATGAAGTCGAAACTTTTTTCATGAGGTGCAAAGATCCGCATATATAAGACCATAATACGACCAACAGTCGCGTATGGAAGCGAAATATGGACGATAACAAAAAGAGAAGTAAATAAATTGCTGATATGGGAACGTAAAATTCTTCGAATGATATATGGCCCTTGCAGAAACAGCGTGACAAACGAATGGAGGGGCAGATACAACAACGAGCTAGAGTCTCTATTCGGAAAAGAAAATCTAGTCAGATATATAAAGGCCAATATACTTAGATGGGCAGGGCATGTGATACTCAGTAACGACAATCGCCTTATAAACAACGTGTTCTGGGAAAGGCCAGATGGAAGAAGGTCTGTAGGGCGCCTAGAAAAAGGTAGAAAGATGCAGTCAAGAAGATCTAGAGAAGATGGGAGTGCGACAATGGGAAGTACTGGCACAGGACCGACACACATGGAAGGCGATAGTAAACGCGGCAAAGACCCACGAAGAGTTGTAGCGCCATTGATGATGATGATGATGATGATGCCAAACCAATAGGGAAGACCAGAAGAGGGAGACCCATTAAAGAATGTAACAGTGACATCTCGCAAATACTGCAGAGTAAGGGTAAGACTTGGTAGGAAGCAACACAGGTGGCATCCAATAGAAAGGAATGAAGAAAGTTCTTTAAGAACTAGGACACCTCAGAAGATTGTAAAATATTGTAATTTAATGAATTGTATTATAAACGGCCCAACACCGAAAGCTACAAATGGGTCTACTGATTAAGTAAGTAGGTAGAAAAGATTATGTATATAAAAGACATGACTATTTTATTTATTGTTTGGAATAGTAAATGAATTTTTAATACATCACAGTGTGAGACCAAGACAAAAATGTCCAAAGTGTTTAAAATTGAACATACTTTTAAATATATCAAGACTAAGAATAACACTGGAAATAAAAGTTCGTTTATTAAAATGCTACGTATTCTCCGTTCGTTTATATGGCATGGAGTCATGGACCTTAACTGAAGTATCACTGAAGAGAATCGAATCATTTGAGATGTGGTGCTGTAGACGCATGTTGAGGATTTAGACAGAGTTACCTGGATAGACAGAGTTACCAACGAAGACGTACTGCATAGAATGGGTAAAGAGCGCCAATTAGTCGTAACCATAAAACGTAACAAACTGGAATACCTGGGCCAAACAATGCGAAATGAACAACGATATAACCTAGTTCGGACCATACTTCAAGGTAAAGTGCATGGAAAAGATAGAACATCCTGGCTGCGTAACCTGCGAAAATGGTTTAACTTAACCACTACCGGACTCTTCAGGGCAGCAGTCAACAAAGTCAGAATAGCCATGTCAGTGTCCAACATCCGTAACGGATAGGCACCATAAGAAGAAGAAGAATAACACTGTGAAGTATCAGATATCAAAACCAAATAACGAGGTATTTCTTGGTGACTGATATATGTTATTGATCTGATGTTATAGAAAATACTAAAAGGAGATAAAGTTTCACGATGGAGAAGTGGAAACATCCTATTCATGAGGTGTTAGACTGTGTGAAGAGTTAAAGTGATAAGTTAAAGTGGAAACTTGAACTTAGAAAAGAAAGTCACAGGAAGACTTATAGTCCAGAGAAGTAAGCAATTACCGGGACTTTGACTAGACCAGAAATCTACGTTATTTTCAATTTTATGGACCTTAATAACTAAAACCTTTATGATTTTTGCAGTCGGTTCAAATCATTAACAATTTGAGGTATTTAAAAGGGTGCTTTCATAGACATGCATATGAAAGATGTAAAAGTCGTTCCTAAATCGGGATAAAGACGAAGGTTTTAATGAGGGCAGTAAATAGACTTCAGCAAAATTGTTCCTTTGAGGAAATTGGAGCTTGTTTCCACTGCTTGAATTGTAAATCAAAATAAATAAATATTTAATAATGAATTAATTCTTACCGGCAAAACTTTCAAGTGTTTTAAAAATGGATTCATCAATTTCATTCTCACTCAGTATTTTACAAATTGCTAAAGCTACCTTTACAGTTGTAGCTTTTACAGAATCCTGTAATAAAAGAAAGTACATTATGTATAAAAAAGACACGTATACTTATAATAAATGTAAATATTACTTTAAAATAATTCATTCAAAAATGTATAGATTAAGATTCTTGTTATTACAGTAATGAAAACTCAATTAAGGCTTCATTCAGCACTATTATACTGAACGACAGTAATACCAGTGGGTCCTCTTGTCGCACTCCCTCGCTGACTTCAATCTTATCTGTTTCTTTTCCATTTATTTTAATCCTATTGTCTGTTTTTCTGAGTGTCACTTTTATCATTCTTACTAATTTTTCACTAATTCTCGTTTCACGTAGTGCCTTGTATATTTCTTTCCGTTTACTCTGTCAAAAGCTTGTTTAAAGTCGATGAATAGGGCCACTGTAGAGCTCCCATAATTGTAGCTTTCTACTTCTATTTTGCGCGGCAGAAAATTGGATCTACTATGGTAGGTCCTGTTCTGAATCCACTTGAACATTCTTTTATGTTATTACCTATTTTTTGTGATGTATCAAGTGTTTTATATGCAACATTTAGTAGTGCTATTCCCCTGTAGTTACGGTATAAACTTTTGGCGCCTTTTTTGTGAATTGGGCACAGTGTGGCTTCAGTCCATTCTTTCAGTATGTCTTCTTGTTAAAGTATTTCTTTCAGCAACTTTTCCAAATGCTTAATTAGTACTGGTCCTCCATATTTGAACATTTCAGCTGTTAGTTCATCCTTTCCACGATCTTATTTTTCTTTAGTTTCTCTGTTATTAGTTTTATTTCTTTTTTATTAGTTCCTTCCCACTAGTTTTCTTCAGATCTTCTTCTTTATGTTCTGTACAATATGAAAAACCCTAATATTCTCTACTGGTATGTAATTTAACTACTAACTAATCACTCCTAATAAAAATGCAAAAATAAAATAAACAAACCTTTTGATTTTAAATAATATTCAGAGTATACTTACCATGTTATCATTGGAAATGTTATCAAAAACAGCTATGAATTCATTTTTAATGCTTTCTTTGTCTAACAAAGCAACGAAATCAATGAGACCCAAAGCAGCTTCTTTTCTCACAATAGGCGACTCGTCTTGAGATAGTAAACGGAAGGTGTGCCTTAATTCAACCTTCTTTTCCTCTTGTACTTTTGGATATATTGACTAAAATAGGTATTAAAGTATTAAATATATAAACAATTAAAAAATACTCCTGCTATATATAACTAGCAAGAAAGGTCGACTTAAGAGTACCAGTAAGCAGATCAGCCAAATCATTAAGAAAAGCGAGTATAACTTAAATATCAAAATAGCTGCACAGATGAAACATATCACGTAGAATCTGTATGGAATAAGTCGACAAAAACCCTCTACCAGAAAAGATCAGAAAAAGAAGTAAGCAAATATGCGGCAACATCAAGAATGGACATTGTGGATGAAGAGTGAGCCAATTTCTGAAAAATTATTTTATGGATATTACAATATGTGCTAAGGAAGCACTAAGATAACGACCAGTAAAAATATAAGACAAATCCTCCAGACAAGAGTCTTTAGAAGACATGGATTTGAAAGATTTGTATCCAATGCATCAACTTCAAAGTTAATATATGTTTAGTCAAAAATAGATTGCAATGTTTTGAAATAAATTATTTTTATACTTACTGAAAAAAGAGCCACTGCAGAACATTTACTCGTAAACCACTGCTCATTTGCCAACGATTCTAAAATCGGAACCAACAACTCTTCAACAAGCTCATTACTCAATTCCTCTGCGATTTCCTTTAAAGCCTCCAAAGTTTTTTCTCTAACCAAAAATTCGTCAGTATTGCACATCCTCTTGAGAAGCTCCAACACCGGTTGGGAGTTTTCGTATCCCCCAACCAACGGTATTAATTGCTTCAGTTGTTCCGGTAGATTTAAGAGTATTTCATCGTGAAAGTTAATGTTTTCTTCTAGAAATGGTAGTAGTTCTTGTCTTGTGATGTTTTCTCCCAAGTGTTCAGCAAGAATACCGAGTCTTTTGGTCATATCAATCTGCTCCTAAAACATTACAAAAACATTCATTTAACCCTGAGGTAATATTAACTGAAATCAAAAATAACAAAAAAGTAAGTATAAATGAAAATCAATAAAAAAAACTATCAAAAAAAATAAATATAAGATTTATTATATCGCGGATTTACTAAATTGTACATTGTCTAAATGTTATGTGGCACTGTGGAATTTAAAAATTGGCTTTCATGAGCCAAACCTGTATTCGAGCTAATAGAACTGATTAAGAACATAACTGATTAAAGAAAAGGAAAATAATAATCAACACAATAACGTACCTGAATTAAGACACTAAATAGAAATCAGTTTTCAGGAAGTAGAGATAGCCATAACTTCACTCAAAAATAGAAATTCATCAGGACCAGATGGAATAAGCATCGAGCTTGTAAAACATGGAGGAGAAAGAATAACTCTAGAGATGACAAAACTTATACAAAAACTAATATTGCACTTCAAGATACCAGACACACAGAGAAACAGCATAATTACATGAATGTTCAAGAAAGGAGATAAAAAGAAGACCCCAACAATTATAGAGGTATAAATCTACTGAACACCGCACTTAAGCTTACCACAAAAGTCCTAACCAACAAAATCAATAAACTAAGTAACAACTTTATCAGATGAACAACAAGGATTCAGATTCAGAAGATCCTGCATAGATGCCGTAGAAAAATCACAGAAATATCGAGTACAATAGGCCTGACAAAGACTTTCGATCGCGTTGAAGTCAAAGACGTCTTAAACCTACTGTATAAAAGAAACATACCAATCAGTATTATGCAAACCATCGAAAACATCGTCCATAATCGAATGCAGACAAAGATAAATAGAAAACTAACACGGTGTATACCAGTACAAAGCGAAGTCACGCAGGGTGACTCGTTAAGCCCTTCTTCTTTGGGTGCCGTGTCCGTATTCAGACGTTGGCCGTCATCATGTTTACAATTTCCTGAAACCTTTCTCTGTCGGCTGCTGCGCGAAATAATTCTTCTACTGTGAAACCACACCATTGTCTAATATTACGCAGCCATGAAAGTTTCTTTCGACCAATCTATCTCTTTCCTTCCACTTTTCCTTGTATTATAAGACGAAGTAGATGGTATTTAGGTCCTTTAATTATATGGCCGAAATATTCTGTTTTTCTCCTCTTTATGGTGTTTATGAGCAGAGTTCTGATGAAGCACATCTTCATTGGAAGCGTACTTTTAGCGTCTATGTCTGACAACCATACAATAGGATGGACCACACATAACATTTCAGGACCTTTTTATGAATATTCATCGACAGGTTTCTGTTGCATAAAACTTGTTTTCACGTCATAAAAGCCTTACGTGATATTTCGATCCTGATTATTATCATCAAAGTCACAATTTACATTTAATCAGCTGTCAAAGTATTTGAAATGATTTACCCTTTCAATCTCCTCTCCATTAAGAGAAATCAGACCTTGATCTATATTGATCTTTCCAACTGCCATCTACTTTGTCTTTGAAATGTTGATTTTAAGGCCTCTCTGATAACTTGCTTCACCTACTAGATTTAGTAATGTTTGGAGATCTTGTAAATTTTCTGCAAGGATAGCTGTATCGTCAGCGTATCTAATATTGTTGATTACTTCTCCACCTAGTCTTACTCCCTCTTGTCTGTCATCCAAAGCCTCCATAAAGATTTCTGCAGAGTACAGATAAAGGGTGGGTGACAAAACACACCCCTGCCGTACTCCACGTTGGATGGATAGTTTTTCAGTCGGACTGCCTCCAATTTGGATAGAGGCTACTTGAATCGAAAAGTGTATCGTGTTGTACTCTGTCGAACGCCTTCTCGAAGTCGATGAAACAAACATAAACATTCTTTCGGAATTCACAATTTTTTTTGTAATAGAACGCGCATACAGAATAGTGGCTCTCTAGTTCCTAGACCGTTTCTAAATCCAAATTGCTTATTACCCATTCTACTTTCGCATAGAAGGAATACTCGGTTTTGTATAATTCGTAAGAGTATCTTCAGTGTGTGACTCATCAAACTGATTAGTCTAAAATCGCTGCATTTGGTGGGCCTGCTTTGTCTTTGGTAATGTTATAAACAGTGACTCTAACCAATCATCTGGTATTTTTCCTTCGTTGTAAATTTTGTTGAAGAAAGTGGTTAAGCAGGCAATGCTTTCCTCATCCAAAAGTTTAAGTAGCTCAGCAGGGATTTGATCTGGTCCAGGTGCTTTATTGTTTTTGGCTTGCTGTATTGCCTTTTTGACTCCCGAATTCAGTATACTGAGACCTCTGTCTAACTGGTTGTCACAGGCAGTATTTGGAGCATTTTCTCTAGAAGCATCGTCAAAAAGGTCAGTGATGTATCTCTCCCATTCTTTGCACTGTTGTTCGTGATCACAAGTTTTTCCGTCCGCGCTTTTAAGTATGTGAGCATTTTTCTGTTTTCTAATTCCGGCAATAAGCCCACTTCTCTTTAATATAATAATGGATGACAAGGCACAAAAACAAGAATCTATAAAGCAACAATTAGACCTATATTATTATATATGGAAAAGACAAAACCTGACACATATAAAACGAGACGACTACTAAAACAACAGAGATGAAAATACTCTGACGAATATCAGGGAAAAGTCTGTTGGATAGGGAGAGGAGCAAAAAAATAAAAAGATCATGCATTATAGAAGATATAAATAGATGGGTGACAAAACGTGCGATAATTTAAACAATTTAGGAGGCTAATATTGAAGAAGAAACAGGCTTAAAAGCCTACATACAAGAAGGAAGAAGAAGAAGAAGCCTCAATTATTATCCTTTATAGCTATGACCCACTTTTTTATCAATTGTCTTTCTTTTTTGCACTTTTCGTAACTTTTAGCTGTTTTATTGTTTAAGTACCTTTTTTTTTAATTTACTACTAATATATATATATATATTATATATATATATATATATATATATATATATATATATATATATATATATAATTTAAAAACAGCAACCTGTAAATATATACTTATATGTCCATATTTTAGTTATTCTAAAAATATTTAACATTATCTTGGCCTATATATTGTTATCTTTGTTCTAACGACATGACACATGACGAATGCGTTTTTAATAATATTTACATACACGTTATAAAAGATTCCCACTTACCGAAATATTTTCATCTTTGATGGCTTGGCTAAAACTCTCCTTGAAGGTCTTAAGATCCTCCATTAGGACACTTTCGTCACTCATTTCGAATAACTTTTGATTTTCCACGCGAAAATCTTAGGTAGAATACCTTTAACCCAAATCTCGTGTCAATACAAATATTGTGTCTTATCACACATCAAGTGTTTTCTTATCTATCTTCATCATAGTTATCGTTTTATCATTTGTAATTTATATAGATAGGAATGCCTATTGTGGTTTTCTACTTATATACGTATTAGTGGAATTTGAGGTTTGATTTAATAATAGATACGAGTTTAGTGAGTGGGAGTTTCTTGTCACACTATTGATGTCCCTAAATATATGAAAATAAGCACGCAACTACAAATCCTACGACCACTTGTTATAGAAAACGACGTCATCGAAACAGTGGACAAATTTTTATACCTGGGAGCGCTCTTTAACACTGAAAAGAATACTACCGCAGAATTTGCACGACCAACAGATGCTATTTTGGACACAATATCCTCTTTAACTCCACAATTAAATCGAGAAATACAAAAATAAAACTCTACAAAACTATAATACGCCCATTCTTAACATACGGTTCAGATACCTGGATTATAACAAAAAGTAATGAAAATATTTTGGGATGTTTCGAAAGAAAATTAGAAACGTACTAAGGCGAATCTATGGAGCAGTGAATGACAATGGAGTGTGGAGAAAACGATACAACTTCGAACTTTATAGAATATACCATTAACCAGATATGGTAAAACATATTAAGATAGGACGTATGAGGTGGATAGGGCATGTAATGCGGATGGAACAAAATGACCCAGCTAGAAAAACGCTTCCTGATAAATACATTGGTCAGAGAGAAGAAGAGTAAGATTCAGAACAAGGTTCTTTGATAACATCGATGAAGACATGAGAAATATGTAAATATGTGCTTGGCGGAGGAATGATAGAGACGACTGAAGAGAAATTCTTGACCCACGCCAGGACCCATCGCATCTTTACACTATCTCGAATGAAATCTAAAATAATAGCCTAATCTGATCAAGTTATGACTTTACTATAGGATTACTTTAAAATGCCACAAGAAAATAGCTTCAGAACAAGATTTAAATAGTACCGGAAACTTTTTTGTAAATAGGGCCCAAATAAACACCAATCCGGACTAATTAAAAAATATTAATTAATAAGAAACCTGTAAACTCTAGAGAGCGCGTCCCAGGTGGCGGATAGGGGAATGCCCGACCCGGTTTACCGGTGGGTAGGGGAAATTAAATACCTCCCGTGGACCAACAGATAATTCACCGAATGATTGCGGTATAAGCAATCCTCCACTTATGACCAACGGCTGCGGGCGTATGAGTTAATAAGTGGAAGGGCACTCTTTTGTCCAAGTGTTGAGAAACTGGTCCGGAAACAAGGCGGATGAATCGAAAATAGGTCAACAGCGTAAGGATGCAGAAGGCAACGGGGAACCACTGCATTAAAGACTCATAGAGTACCCTAGTAAAGTCATGAATGGCAAATGACAAGTAGAGTAAACAAACTTACTAATTATGGAGCAAGGAATCCAAGATCCGGCAGGGGAGGAATAAGTGTAGTTCACAGAGCTCCCAGGTCGTAAACCAGTGAAATCCCTGTGCACTTAAGACATTGAAAATAGCAACCTGGAATGTCAGAAGTCTATACGCAAGTGGTAAATTAGCCAACGTACTGCTTGAAATGGAAAACCTTCAAATTGATGTTTTAGGTATAAGTGACGTACAGTGGCCAGGTTCAGGCAAACAAATTACAAATATTGGAGCCATTGTACTATTCAGATAAACAACGAGGTCAATCATCGCTATGGTGTTGCTATCTTAGTTGCAAAAAAGGTCAATTACTCTATGAGAAGTTTTACTGCTTATTCTGATAGGATCTTATCAATACAACTCCAGTTTAAAAAAGGTTTAGTAATTTTATTCAAGTTTATGCTCCTACGGCAGATAAAGATGACGACGATATCGAACTATTTTACCATGATTTGGAACAAGTCTTAAAATCAATCAAAAAAACATCACACTATAATAGTAATTGGCAACTTCAATGCCAAAGTTGGCCGGGGAAGAGTGGATGGATATGTAGGGAAATATGGTCTAGGAAATAGAAATGAACGTGGTGACCGTTTGACACAATTTTGCCAGACGGAAGAATTTGTAATAGCTAATACACCTTTTAAGCTACCAAAAAGAAGATTGTTTACATGGAAATCTCCTGGTGATACAACGCATAGAATAATCCGAAATCAAATTGACTTTGTCCTCATTAGACAAAGATTTCGTAATTCTATACTGCCTGCCAAAACTTACCCTGGAGCAGACATCGGTTCAGACCATAACCCCATAGTAGTCACATTACGAACCAAATTAAAACTGGTTAAAAACCCACACAAAGTAGAATTGATATTAAGAGATTAAGGGAACCACAATCAAAGGAACAAACTTTAAAAACTATAACTAAATAAATGAATAAAAGTACAGAACATTGATCAGAAATGGGAAAATATAAAAAACTGAATGACTGAAGAAATACTACTATTAATGAATGAAAGAAAATCATTCAAAACAAAAAATCCAATTAATATAATGAAACTGATCGATTAATTAAAAAGAGAATAAACTAAGCTAAGAAGAGAATGTTACATGAGCAGTGCCAAAAACTAGAAAAAAAATTGAGAAAAAATATTACTTTTTTAACATGCATCAAAATAATTAGAGAATTAACAGGATTGAGAAATAACACTTCAAACTAGGCAACTAAGAGATGAAAGTGCTGTACTTATAACAGATATAAACAAAAAATGCAGAGATGGGCACAATATATAGCACAACTTTTTGAGGACAAAGAGAGAACAGAAACAACAAAAGAATTTAAGGATGATACTGGGCCTGACAATTATACGAGAAGAAATTGAATATGCAGTAAAACAAGTTAAAGTGTGGTAAATCTCCCGGGCCTGATAAGGTTTCCTATCTTATTCTTCTAATGGTGCCGTGCATTTTCATGCGTAGGCGTCCACGTTACATCGTCTTGTCAGGTGAGCTGTTAAATATTCTGGTTTAAATAATTCTGTTTTTAGCAGCATTGCGAAGCATTTCATAGCTGTGGATTCCTGTCCATTGTCGAATATTGCGCAGCCATGACATTTTTTTTACGTCCGAGACCTCTCCTACCCTCTATTTTCCCTTCGAGTTTCAGTTGCTGAAAAGTGTATCGTTCTCCTCGTATATGTGCCCCAAGTATGCAGTCTTCTTACTTTTCACATAATTAAAATGTTCCCTATCCTGTAAGCCCGCTCTTCTAAGTACTTCCTCATTTCTGACCTGTCCGTCCATGATATTCTGAGCATTCGACGCAGGCACACATTTCAAACACTTCAAGTTTGTTAATGGAACTGGCCTTTAACGTCCATGCTTCCATTCGTACAGGAGAACAGGCCACACGTAACACTTAAGCTCTTGTATCGGAGGTTGAAGTCAATTTGCGATCAGTCAGAAACTTACGAAGCCTCAAAAAAGATTTCTGGCTTGTTCAACTCTGCTCTTTATTTCATTCTCGGGGTCCCAACCCTCTTTCAGCAAACATCCCAAGTATTTGAATTGCCTGACTTGTTCGATTTCTTCTCCAGAGTACATTATCTTTGCGTTGGGGTAATCATTTCTACTTATAATCAGGTTCCTATCGAATTACTCAAAATTGTGAATACAGAATCTATTGATCCTCTTTTGGATTTATTCAATACCATATATAGAACAGGTATAATACCCAAAGAATGGCTCCAATCAACATTCATACTGCTTCCCAAAAAAGCCAATACAAAGGAGTGCAATGAACATTGCACCATAGCCTTAACGAGTCATGTCTTGTAATTGTTTTTAAAAGTAATTCACAATAGAACACAAAAGAAATTAGATGAAGGCATAAGTAATACACAGATGGGATTTAGGAAAGGACTGGGAACACGAGATGCACTGTTTGCAGTAAGTGTTCTTTCGCATAGATGCTTAAATATAAATCAGGAAGTATATGCCTGTTTCATTGATTTTAAGAAGGCATTTGACAGAGTGCAGCATAATTGGTAACCTCTATTGGAACCAAACAACAAAAGTGAAAGTTGAAAATTAACTGACCGAGGATATCCTGATTCGCCGTAGCGTCCGCCAAGGGTGTATTTTATCACCCTTGTTATTTCAATTTATACAGTGAAGTCATCTCAGAATTAGCGCTTGCCGAGGTCAGTGAGGGCCTTATAATAAACGGTGAGCCACTTAATAACATAAGATATGCTGACGACACCGTCCCTCTAGCAGGAACACTAGGAGAACTGCAACTACTTGCTGAACAACTTATTATATTGCAACGATTATGAACTAAAAATAAATTTAAAGAAAACCAAGTTCATGGTATTTACAAAAGCACAAATCATGAAAGTTAGCTAGTACTAGATAATATAGAAATTGAACAAATCATCATCATCATCATTCAATTTAGCTTATCCACTGCTGGACATAGATCTCCCTCATAATTTTCCATCTATTTCGATCTTGTACCTCTTGCATCCAATTCCTATGACGTTTTAGATCGTCAGTTCAAGGCGTTGGTGAACGACCTCTGCTTCGGTATGGCATCATCTCTTGGTCTCCATTTCAGTATCCGCTTTGTCCATCTATTATCTGTCATTCGAGCCACGTGACCTGCCCAATTCCATTTCAGTGTTGCTACTCTCTCTACTGCATCAGCCACTTCTGTTCTGTGTCGCAGCTGGCGATTTGGAATCATGTCTCGTAGTGAAACACCCAACATAGCACTCTCCATCGCCTTTGACACACACGGATCTTTTGAACTGTTCACCTTGTCATGGTCAACGTTTCCGCACCGTAAGTCAACACTGGCAAAACACACTGATTAAAGGTTTTTCTTTTCTTTTAAGGCATATTGGTATATCAGACAATTTGAAAATATGGTTCAGCTTGCCGAAGGCTGCCCAAGTCAGTCTTATATGACGGAGAAGCTCAACGATTTGGTTATCTTTTCCTATGCGGATCTCATGACCTAGTTATTTATAGGCCATTACTGGTCTATGGATCTTGTTCCTACGCATAT